AATTCTTGAATCGGGCGATAACCACGCCCACTTCCCATATAGCTACTGAAGCTAATTCACTCTAAATCGGTTCTGGGAATAACCTCCTCTTAGCACTAAATAGAATTATTATAACTTTTTGGATATTGGGCGTTGCGCCGCACACTTTTCACCACAAATGTATATCTCGGTAACCGATTTATTAATTTGTATGTATCAAACTCGGTGCACTTGGTATGGAAAAGCAATGCGTTGAAAATATGAAAACTCCGATATTTCAGTAATTGAGGACGCTAATTTACTCCAAGTTAATACTTACAAATTTCTCTTAACAATAAATAAGACTGTTATTATTACAAAAATGTAATTTTATTACATTGGGTGCGTTCGAGCTACGTAATAATTATCGCAATATTACAGACTTGTTGCTTTCCTGATGACATGTTGCTGATGCTCAACTTAAACTTTTCTAAAAGGTTGCAGAAATTGCGCAGGAAAATTTTTTATGTTGCTTTTGCTTTGCTTGCTAACTGATTGCCAAAATTTTTGTTCGCCCAAATTTTCGCGTAGAACGTGATATTCATTCTTTCATAAAAGAGTAACACTGCCGCATTAATTTCGGCTCGAATACACCTATTTCTTACCTATAGTGTAATACATATTTGAATTATTTAATTCCTTTAAACCCTGCAAGGTTCCTTAGAGATAAAGCCTTTTCCGCGATTCATTTAACTAACTGAACAATATTTTTCAACAGGCGGCAACTCTGTTAGTGTTTTACCCTATATTTACTTGATTTTAAACATTTACAATTCTATATGTCAAAACACGTCTTTTCTAAACATTTCGAATTGAAATATTTGTAAAAATAATTTTGGCCGCATAAATCGGCTAAATACCCCTATGTGCGTTGTTAGCGCAAAAAATTCAAAAATAAGAATATATTGAAAAAATGTAAAACTGCTCAATGTATTAAAGTACCATAAAAACAGGGTATCTTCTTATATTATTATTACTATGAGCACTGCAACCTCTGCGGTGGTCTATTGTGCGTGGCCCTTTACCCTATACGCGAAGGCTTTTTATAGAGGCTAGCACTTCTGAAGGTATTACTACATATCAGCGATGCCAACTTGCGGGGAATTCCCCGATTTGCGGGGAATTTATCTCGTTGCGGGGAATCGGAAAATGGATCCATTTTGCGGGGAATTTTGAATATTTAATTTTATATCAGGTTGCCGTTTTTTAATTTTACTTATATTTATATATAATATAATATGAATATATTTAATAATATTTAATAATGCAATTACTTATTCATTTATTAATTAAAGTGAGCCGAGTGTAAGAAAGTGCGAGAGGCCCCAGAAAAAAAAAATATCAAAAAGCCACGGTAATTGTTTGCCCTTTAAACGCGCACATTATTATACTAAAATTAAATTGGCTTCTAAAAATTAAGAGTAAAAAGTTGAACCTTTTTTTATAATTTGTTAAATTTTTGTGAGTTTTACCCAAAGTTTTGAACTTTTACTTATATGGCGTATGCTATACAAAAAGATATATTTTTATAAAAAATTATTGAAAAAATTTAACATTTAAATATTGTTTGTATGTATATACGTTCATATATTAAAAAATTAAGGTTTTTTTTAAGGAAATCGAATTTCACCGAAAATCAGGGAATTTCGCGGAGGCCAACGGGGAGGAAAATAAAATGAGTGGGCATCGCTGCTACATAAGTACATATAACACAAATATTTTTCGTCAATATGTAAAAATACATATGTACATACAACGGTTGTACTTAAACATATGAAAATCTACGTATGAAATAAAAGCTGCATTTCTTTATTCATTCTGAACGTTTGGAATAAACTTTTTTGTTTACTTATTCTTTAGAACGTTCAATGGCATTCTGTTTATTCTGGTTGTGAAATGGGTTTATCCGGAATGTATAAAGAAACGCAGCCAAAGATTTCCACGAAAATTTCAAAATTAAAAAAAAAAAAAAAATGCTTGGGTGTCGCTACCAAGGCTCGAAAAAAATTATAATCATAAATTTAATAGAAATGATAAATGTGACATATTATTGAAAAATATTCATATAAATTCATAGTCGTAATCAAATGGGTTCATTCATTCAAATCGATTCATATTAAGCTTTAAAGAATGTTCCTAAGTTTTAAATAACACTGGTTTACAAACACCTAGAATCTCATGCAAAGCCGATAGCTAGTATGAAGTTGCTGAGCTAAAAACAATTTTTTTTTTTAATGGACAGGTTTTTGAAATAATGGTACTTTTGTGGTTTCGGGGGTACGATCCTTTTTACCAGACTGGCACGTCTCACCATTAAGAATGTAGGTAATGTAATGCTGCATTTCCACTAGGCATTAAATGGCAAAAATGACAAATGGCAAAGTCGGGCATTGAAAAATAATCGTGTCATTACATTAAAAATTTAGTTCAATTCCACATGTCATTTTTTAAATGGCATACATTTTTTATCACTTCAATGCCTAGTGGAAATTCGGCATAACGTTTCCAAGATTAAAATAAGTAAATAAATTCAGAAAGCAACTAAAGGACGAGTCAAACGAAATGCTTTGCCTGCTTTGATCGGACCAAAACTCACTGAGTTATTTTGTCGAGTTTTTTTTTAATATTTCAAAACCTAGTAAAAATTATTACATAATATAGAAATTTTTGTGGATGTCTTCATTTTGTAAGTTATCTAATTTTCAGCTTTCAGGATTCACCCAAATATTTATCGAATTTCAGCTATGTTTGGCTAGAAAAAATCAGGGACCGAAAATAAAAGGTATTATCGAAACTAAATGTCGTTCTCGTTGTTTTGTTCCCAGGGACGCTTCAAAACCAAAACCGAAATGATAATTATATAAGAATAAAATGTGTGGAACGTTCCCAAGGAGAACAAAATGCGACATACTTTTTGGAAACATTTCTAAGAGAACAAAATGGGAACAAAAGTCTCCGGAACGTTTTGCCAAAAGAACAAAATAGGAACAAAAATCTAAGAAAAAATTTTATCATAGCGTTCCATTAGTTTGAATTCCAACGAAAGACTTAAGACGCGAGCTTTTCATGCACAGAAAATGAAAAATTGTTCCATTAATTTTAGTGATGAACGATCTGGAAATTGAAATGAGCCAGCTCCCCTTTGGCGTAGAATTAACAATCGTGGTTTTCACTGAAAAAAAATTTTCATCCCAATACGCAGACGCCCCTCCTAATCTTAACGTTAAGATCTCAAAACTTTTGTTCTCGCTTTGTTCTTTAGCAGAACGTTCCCCAGACTTTATTCTTATTTTTACCTCATTGAAAACATTCTCGATACTTTCGCTCTTATTTTGTTCTCATTGGAAACGATTCCGAAAATTTCGTTCTCATTCCGTTCCTCTTGAGAACGTTCCGAGAGTTTTGTTCGCATTTTGTTCTTTATGGAAACGCTCTCGAACCTTTTTTCCTCAGTTCCCGTTCCAACTGCACTCAATACTTTTATTCTCGTCTGGCTCGTTTTTGGGAACGTTCTTGACATCACATTTTGTTCTCGTAAAACCAAAAGTAGAAAAATAATAAATTGAAGGCAAGTAATTTTTAAGCATAAAAAAACCGACTTCAATTTTCATATGCAAATTTAAGAGTAACGTTAATTTCTTCATGATCCAGTGATCGAATTAGTATGGACCACCTCCGAGATACCACCTTCAATTAAAGCAACGTGGTTAACGTGGTCCAAAGTTATGCGGTAACATACATTAAAAAAAAAAGATTCCGATGAATTGATAGCCTCCTACTTGTTATAAGTCGGTTAAAAAGTACATAAACCGAACCATGGCTTGAAGTTAGAAATTTTTAAAGTTATAATGTTACCTCTCAAATTAATTGGAGTGGGTTTTTTCTTTGTCTTTGGTTGCTACCGAATACTAATAGAACAGGGGGATTGTTGCAGTCTTGCATAGCCCTTGGACGGTACAAGTATTGCAAAGCTTTTCCGTAGAAAAACCGATGCTGACCGTGCAATTCCTGCACCGTGAAAATGTTTTGCAAAACTTCGAGAATCCTCCTAATGTGTACACGAAATTGGTAATGAATTTAAATAAATTTTCTTTAATTATTTTTTAGTAATTCGTCAAATTGATTGAAAGATACATATGTATGTGTGTGTATGTTTGTGTTTTTATTGGTTTGTTTGCTTGTTTGTTAGGTGCATTTCCTTGTCTTTTGGTAGATAATAAAAGTATAGTTATGACAGCTAAAAGCTATCCGAAACAAATATTTTTATTACACTACACACNTGTCTTTTGGTAGATAATAAAAGTATAGTTATGACAGCTAAAAGCTATCCAAAACAAATATTTTTATTACACTACACANACCAAACCTTTAAACTTCAACTTGGTGGTCTTTTATTTCCTATATTTCGTAAGGCTTTAAATGTCATGTCGTTTGTTTTTTTTTTGAATGTTCGTTAAAACTAATTTTAATTAACATTTANCGTTAAAACAAATTTTAATTAACATTTGAATTTTTGTAGTGTTGTGCGGCTTATACTTAGTGTATGTGTTAAATATTTTAAAGCAGCAGATTTTATAAATGCTCCGGGAGGAACAGGAAAGGCACGTTTGATGCCAAGTGCTGTTACTATGACTCTTATGCCGGAAAGTCCCTCCAACAACACTGCAACTCATATATCAAAGACAGAAAACAACAAACAAATTAACAAATTTTAAGTAAAGAAAATAAATAAATAAAATAAAACTTCAAATTTACTTAAAAACCTCAACCAGTGAAATGTAATTTTTTATTTTTCCTTAGACACGCTCATTTTTATTTTTACTCTCCCGAAAACTTTGACTTTTGTAGGTTTGACGTCAAATTGGCTTCTACCTGTTTTTATTGTACCATGCACACACACTATTGAAATAAATTTGGAATGAATACACAAATACAGACATTTGTAAGTCGAAGAAATCTCTACACTTGAATTTCGTTGGCAGGTTACGTTATGTATTTCAATTCTTGTCTCGTTGACTGTGTTCTTCTTGCTGTTGGCCGAAATTATTCCGCCAACATCACTGGCAGTACCGTTGCTAGGCAAATATCTACTATTTACAATGATCCTGGTCTCGTTGTCCGTATGGACAACGGTATGCGTATTAAATTTACACTTTAGGTGAGTAAAATATTTATGGTGAGGGGAATTTCAAATTGTGGGAGGTAAGATTATACAAAAAAAAAAGTTTTATTTCTGTTTTGTAACTTAAAACAGTGGATGGTAAAAGGAAGTGTGAAGAAAAAATAATTACGCTTGTAAATGTTTTGAACTATGAAATTTCACATTTTCTCGTTTCATTATACCCACATTGCTTTAGATCACCGTCAACTCATAATATGTCGCCACTGGTACGTAAACTATTTTTACATTTTATGCCGAAATTGATGATGATGCGTCGCACTCAATATACATTGCCCGATTATGATGATTCGACGCCCAGCAATGGCTACACCAATGAAATTGATGTGCGGTGAGTTTTTTCTTTTGAAAGATAGCGAATTACGGTAGACACACACACATGTTTGTAAAATAGTTAAATATTTTTTTGTTTGCCCAAAGTTGCCATTTAAAGTTACAGTTAAGTAAATGTTTGTGATAGCTACAAGTGGCAACGTATGTACGCAAGGTATTGGCTAGTAGTTTTATAAAACACAATATGTTTAGCGAAAATTTTATCAACATTTTGTATCGAAACTTCAACTGTATTGTTGTTTTCTTTATTGCTAATTTTTTGCTTAATTGAAATCGAAATGCAAGCAGCGATAGTATTAGTGACTTTCCCAGCGAGTTCAAGGACAGCCAAGAGGGACCCTATGATAATGGCGTGCAACAATCGATTGGTG